TCACCCCCTCCTGCCTGCACCCCTGCCCTACACCCTGCCCTCCCCCTGCCCACACTCCTGCCCTCACCCTCTCCTGCCCTCACTCCTGCCCTCACCCCCTGCCCACACCCTGACCCCCTGCCCTGGCGCTGCCCGCAGAGCCGCCCGCACACCTCCTGGCCGAGGTGCTCTTCTGCCAACCGGCCATGCCCTCCCTGGGGCTGGCCCTGGCCTTCGACGCCGACCAGCTCTTCTGGTTCGACTTCCCCCGCTCCCAGTGGACCCCCCGCCTGCCCGACCTCCCCCCCTGGCCCCCCAACCTGGAGACCCCCAAGGAGCTCCTGCAGGACGCCACCCTCTGCCAGGACCTGCGCCGCGGCATCAGCGAGCTGGCCACCGGCAAGCTCCCGGAGTCCAAGGGTAGGTGACGTGGTGGGGCGTTGTGTGCCCCATCCCTGCCCCACCGTGGGCCACCAACCACCACGTGCCACCAGCGTCCCTTCCACGGGGTCCTCCTCAACGGCCTCCGCAGTTGGATGGAGTTGGTGGAGGAGGAACTGGGTGGATGGTGGCATCCAGAGAGTCATGGTCAACAGCTCCATGTGTAGATGGAGACCAGTGAGGAGTGGTGTCCCTCAGGGGTCCATACTGGGACCCTCATCAAGGACATGTGCCACCATCATCCCTTTGACATGGTCCTCCACAACGTCCTCCTCAGTTGGATGGAGTTGGTGGATGAGGAACTGGGTGGATGGTGGCATCCAGAGAGTCATGGTCAACAGCTCCATGTGTAGATGGAGACCAGTGAGGAGTGGTGTCCCTCAGGGGTCCATACTGGGACCAGTAGCGTTCCATGTCTTCACCAAGGACATGTGCCACCATCATCTCTTTGACATGGTCCTCCACAACATCCTCCTCAGTTGGATGGAGTTGGTGGAGGAGGAACTGGGTGGATGGTGGCATCCAGAGAGTCCTGGTCAACTGTTCCATGTTTAGATGGAGACCAGTGAGGAGTGGTGTCCCTCAGGGGTCCATACTGGGACCCTCATCAAGGACATGTGCCACCATCATCCCTTTGACATGGTCCTCACAACGTCCTCCTCAGTTGGATGGAGCTGGTGGATGAGGAACTGGGTGGATGGTGGCATCTAGAGAGTCGTGGTCAATCGTTCAACATCTGGATGGAGACCAGCAAGGAGTGGTGGCCTTCAGGGGTCCATACTGGGACCAGTAGCGTTCCATGTCTTCGCCAAGGACATGTGCCACCATCATCCCTTCGACATGGTCCTCCACAACGTCCTCCTCAGTTGGCTGGAGTTGGTGGATGAGGAACTGGATGGATGGTGGCATCCAGAGAGTCGTGGTCAATCATTCGACATCTGGATGGAGACCAGCAAGGAGTGGTGGCCTTCAGGGGTCCATACTGGGACCAGTAGTGTTCCATGTCTTCCCCAAGGACATGTGCCACCATCATCCCTTTGACATGGTCCTCCACAACGTCCTCCTCAGTTGGATGGAGTTGGTGGATGAGGAACTGGATGGATGGTGGTATCTAGAGAGTCATGGTCAACAGCTCCATGTGTAGATGGAGACCAGTGAGGAGTGGTGTCCCTCAGGGGTCCATACTGGGACCAGTAGTGTTCCATGTCTTCGCCAAGGACACGTGCCACCATCATCCCTTTGACATGGTCCTCCTCAACGTCCTCCTCAGCTGGATGGAGTTGATGGATAGAGCATTTGGTGGATGAGGAACTGGGTGGATGGTGGCATCCAGAGAGTCAATGGTTCAACACCTGGATGGAGACCGTGAGGTCTCCTTAGGGATCCGTACTGGGACCAGTAGTGTCCCATGTCTTCACTGAAGACGTGCCACCATTGTCCCTGTGACATTGTCCTCCATAACATCCACTTCAGTTGGAAGGACCATTTGGTGGATGAGGAACTGGGTGGATGGTGGCATCCAGAGAGTTGTGGTCAATGGCTCCATGTCCAGATGGAGACCAGTGAGGAGTGGTGTCCCTCAGGGATCCATACTGGGAACTTCACCAAGGACATGTGCCACCATCTTCCCTTTGATGTGGTCCTCCACAATGTCCTCCTCTCTTGGTTGGATGGAGTTGATGGATGGACCATTTGGTGGATGAGGAACTGGGTGGATGGTGGCATCCAGAGAGTCGTGGTCAACAGCTCCATGTCCAGATGGAGACTACTGAGGAGTGGTGTCCCTCAGGGGTCCATACTGGGACCAGTACTGTTCCATATCTTCATTAACCAAATAGAGGGTGGGATCAAGGGCACCTTTGATGGGACAGGGCTCTGAACAACCTCATCTGGTTGGAGATGGCCCTGCTCATGGAGCAGGTGACCTTCAAAGGTCCCATCCAACCCAAAGCCTCCTGTGACCTGGGTGAGGGGAACGAGTCCACCCTCAGATGACACCAGGTTGATCTCCTTGAGGGTAGATGGTCTTCAAGGGTCCCCTCAAATCCAAAGCCTCCTGTGATGCAACAGGACCAGATGAGCAACCTCATCTGATTGGAGATGGCCCTGCTCATGGAGTAGGTGACCTTCAAAGGTCTCCTCCAACCCAACTGATCCTTTGATGGGACGGGGCTCTGAGCAACCTCATCTGGTTGGAGATGGCCCTGCTCATGGAGCAGGTGACCTTCAAAGGTCTCCTCCAACCCAACTGATCCTTTGATGGGACGGGGCTCTGAGCAACCTCATCTGGTTGGAGATGGCCCTGCTCATGGAGAAGTTACCTTCAAAGGTCTCCTCCAACCCAACTGATCCTTTGATGGGATGGGGCTCTGAGCAACCTCATCTGGTTGGAGATGGCCCTGCTCATGGAGTAGGTGACCTTCAAAGGTCTCCTCCAACCCAAAGCCTCCTGTGACCTGGGTGAGGGGAACGAGTCCACCCTCAGATGACACCAGGTTGATCTCCTTGAGGGTAGATGGTCTTCAAATGTCCCCTGAAACCCAAAGCCTCCTGTGATGGAACGGGACCAGATGAGCAACCTGAAAGATGAGCAACCTTCAAAGGTCTCCTCCAACCCAACTGATCCTTTGATGGGCCGGGGCTCTGAGCAACCTCGTCTGGTTGGAGATGGCCCTGCTCATGGAGTAGATGACCTTCAAAGTTCTCCTCCAACCCAACTGCTCCTTTGATGGATCCTCTCCCACCTTGTCCCTTCTTCCCCAGGCATCCCGGTGGCCAACGTCTTCCCGCTGCAGCCCCCGGCGTTGGGTGAAGCCAACACCTTGGTGTGCATGGTGGAGAACATCTTCCCTCCGGCGGTGGCCATCAGTTGGCAGCTGGGGGGGGTCCCCGTCACCCAAGGTGTCACCCACACCCACTACACCCCCACGGCCGACCTGGCCTTCCTCCGCTTCTCCTACCTCCCGGTGACGCCCGCCGCCGGCGACATCTACTCCTGCGTGGTCACCCGCGAGGGGGACAACGCCTCCGTCGTCGCCTACTGGGGTGAGCGCGGGGGGGGTGGCGAGAGGACACACCAAGGGGGGGTGTTGATGACCTGATGACCCCCCCTCAACCTTCTTGGTGTCCCCCCCAAACCTCGTAGTGCCCCAAAACCCGGTGCCCTCGGAGGAGCTGGAGACGGCGCTGTGCGGCGCCGCCATGGCCTTGGGCATCCTCCTGGCGCTGTTGGGCCTCGCCATGATCCTGCTGACGCGGCAAAACGCCCACGGTACGGCCC